TTACGAGGCTACAACACTCCTTCCCCCCCAGCGATGCGCATGCGTCTGAAAGGGCGCAGGTGTAGTCGCTTAAGTACGCAGGGGAGCGGCGGACACGCCCTGACCGCCGCAGTTGGATTGCAGGCGGAGATGGAAGAGGATGTCCCTGTAAGAGCTCCTCCCTTCAGGGAGTGTAGCTCCAGGTGACGTCAGAAGAACAATTGTATCCTGTTTTTCATGAAGGAATTTAAGGTAGTATACATAAGATATGGTCTCCTCCTAGTTTTTCTCTGCAACACAGAGAGTAAGTAGAAATTGCTCAGGATTTTCCACGATATATCTGAGAATAAGGTTGAACCTTAATCTCCCAAATACTAATCTAACAAGAAAACCCCCAAATGGCTGAGTGATTATAAGCACTATGGGAGGCACCACATGCACTATGTTTTTCTGCATTAGATACTGCAACAACTTGGATGGTTAGTCAAGAGACCATGTCCAAAGCTGAAGAGTTATTTAATCCCAAACTTCCTACAGTCCTAATTAAGAAACATAATGGTAAACTGGTCTTATAAGACCTTATAGATGTAGTGGGGCATAACTGAAACATGGTAGTCAAATTAAAAGGTATATAGTTGTTCCTGGTTGTTCCCAAACTCTGTGGGAAACACAGGGAGCACCCTATGGAAGAGGCATGGCCTTGTATGTGAAAGGGACTATTGACTCAAATGATCTTCACATCCCCCAAGTGGAAGATCAACAGAATCACTCTGGGTAGAAATATCAGATCCTAAAACAAGTAAATACTGGAAGTGTACTATTATCCCCTTATCAAGATGTTAGCTCTTGAAATGGAGAGGGATATCAGAGAGACATCCCCAAAAAGGAAGTCTTGTAATTATATGAGATGAATGTGCATTCAAGTTATGACCAAAGAAAAATTCTTAGATACAATAAATGACTGTCTGCCAGAACAGATAGTCTTGGAACTGACATAAAGAAAGGGGCAACGCTGAACCTATCTACCTGCTCAGGAGAAATATATGTAGTTGAATGAATTTGGGATAGTTACTGTAATGCCATAAAGCTGAACATTGAAAAAAGCCATAGCCTCGCTAGCAAATCCCGTACAGTCCTATTAGACTTCAGAAATATAAACATCTCAAAATTAAGAAGACTAATGAAACTTGGGAAAAAAATATCAAAAGGGTATCCCCCAGAAAGCTTGATTGTTGTTTAAAACTTCAATAAGACACAAATAAGGAAAATGCCCCTAAAGTCCAAGAAAAGTTCTGCATGGTTCATTGACATAGTAAAGGAGGCCACG